GTTGAGTTAATCCTATTAATGCTTATAATTTTTTATAGTTTGTAATAATTATTTGTATTTTGTATAATTTTAAACTAATATTTTTAATATTTTAATAAAAATCGATGTACATTTTGAATAAATTTTATAGCTCAAGATCCACCAAACCGATTTCGATAAAATTTTTAGGGCATAATAAGATTGATATGTAAACGGTTTCTGTGAAGTTTGTACGCTGTGCGATATGTGGCTCCGGAGTTATGGCCTCTTAAGTGTACAATATTAATCACGCACGCACGATATTCAAAAATTATTGTTTTGCCATGGAGATATATATACACTCTATGTGGTTATTTTTTATTATTTGTTTCCGTGGTACGCGCGTCTATGGTTATATTTATTAGTTTGAGATTAAATGAGATTGATTTTTATTCAATTTGAATTGTATGGATTTAGGCGTTAAAAAATGCCACGACCAAGACGACAAAATATTGGCCGACGATCACGTAATTATGTCGCCCAACAGTCTCATAGGAGATCTCAAAGTGAAGAGGCACATTTACAACGAAATGTTGTTCAACATTTACGAAATGAACATCGAACTAAATCCAGCATCAAGACGAACGTCACGAATTTCGCGTCGTGCACAAGCCATGGAATTCGCTGCATTTCATTACAGCAGTGAAATGGATTACAGTGAACATGGTCTTATTGGTGGAATGACGGTGAGATGTATACATTGAACTGCAGCCAAATTTCCAGGTGAAACGGCAGGCATGTGTTGTACTAATGGCAAAGTGAAATTGCCAGCATTCGAATCTCCACCTGATCCACTGCACTCATTGATTTTTGGAACATCACCAACGTCCAAGCATTTTTTGTCCCACATTCAAGAATATAATACGCCATTTCAAATGACTTCTTTTGGTGTGACAAAATTTATAAGAGACAGTTTTATGCCGATGTTCAAGGTAATTATTTCATACGGAATATCTTTCGAAAAATGCAACCTGACCAGCAATTATTATGATATTTTCACGAATTCTGATCCAATATCAAATTGTATTTCTCATATGTTACAGATTCAAGGGCAGATTTATTATAAGAGCTGGTTCATTATTGCCATTCCCTGACACTGAACCTCAATTTTTGCAAATCTATTTTGTTGGGAATAGCAATGATGAATTGAATCGGCGTTGTGCAATTGCTCCAAGTGCAAGGCGTCAAATTATTTTGGACCTGCAAATTTTTTTCCATCAACACAATGAATTGGTTCAATTGTTCAAAACCGCTCTTGATCTTATGCCATCCGATAATCATAGAATAGTAATAAGAGCCAACAAAACGCCTTTTGGAGAGCATGCAAGACGCTTCAATGCACCAACCATTGATGAAGTGGCCATTGTAATTGTTGGAGAGCAGTTTCTATCTCGCGATAATGTGCTACACCGAAGAAATGAGCAATTGCAGCGTGTATCAGAGCTTCATCGTAGCTATAATGCATTTAAGTATCCATTATTGCACTGGAAAGATGACGACGGCTATCATATCAATATACCAATGATAGATCCACGAACCGGTAACATATTCATATGAATTGAAAATGTATTCATTTTAAAACAATCAGACATTCAAATTTTCTATCATTGTATTTATTACAGGTCGCGACATACCAGGCAAGACAGTTAGTGCGATGAACTATTTCTCATACAGAATCATGGTTCGTCCACAAGAAGACAACTTCATTTTGAGGTGTGGCAAACTATTCCATCAATATGCTGTGTACATGTATGCGAAAATTGAATCAGAACGTCTCAATTACCTTAGATTCAATCAAGCGGCATTGCGATCGGAAGAGTATATACACTTACAAGATGCAATAGTGAATGATGGCGATGTCAATAATATTGGACGTTTAAAAATATTACCAGCGACTTATATTGGCAGTCCGCGTCACATGCAATGTCGTACGTTCGCAAATACGGCCACCCTGACCTCTTCATAACATTCACATGCAATCCACAGTGGGATGACATAAAAACCAATTTGTTTGAAGGTCAGACACCAACATACCGCCACGATATAACAGCACGTGTATTTCGACAGAAATTGAAAGCGCTGATTGATTTGATTATCAAATTGCGAGTATTTGGAGAGGTGCGTTGCTGGATGTACTCGATCGAACGGCAAAAGAGAGAGCTTCCGCATGCATATATATTGATATGGCTGGTACGTAAAATAACACCGGATCAAATTGATAGCATTATATCAGCTGAAATTCCAGATGAAATTGCTGATCCTGAATTATTTGAAGTTGTCAAGAAAAATATGATTCACGGTCCTTGCGGGGCATTCAATTTGAATTCTCCATGCATGATCGATGGAAAATGTTCAAAACGGTACCCAAAAGCATTGACTTCTGACACACTAGCAGGTGATGATGGATATCCGTTGTACGAACGTCGGTCTACGGAAGATAATGTCCATACGGTAACGGTTAGAATGCAAAATCAAGACATCGAAGTTGATAATCGTTGGGTAGTTCCATACTCACCACTATTGTCGAAAATATTTAAGGCACACATTAACGTTGAGTATTGCAATTCGGTCAAATCGATCAAATACATTTGCAAGTATGTCAACAAAGGCAGTGATATGGCTGTTTTCGGAGTAGCTGCTGACAATAGTCATGATGAAATCGCTCAATATCAAATAGGCCGCTACATGAGCACTAATGAGGCTCTTTGGAGAATTTATTCATATCCGATGCATGAACGGTCTCCTGCTGTTTTTCATTTGGCAGTTCATCTTAAAAATGGCCAACGTGTATATTTTACCAATGAAAATGTTCAAGAGAGAGTGGCACGTTCACCAGCAACAACATTAACCACATTTTTTCAATTGTGCGCAAGTTATGAATTTGCCAGAACTTTGCTGTATTCAGGTGTAACGCATTATTACACTTTGACTGCACAAAAAACATGGCAACGGCGTAAAAAGGGAACAGCAGTTGATGGCCATCCAGGTCTTTTCTATGCAGAAACTATGGGAAGACTATACACAGTTCATCCAAATATGGTAGAATGTTATTATTTGCGGCTGTTGTTAGAGAATGTTGTGGGGCCGCGTTCATTTGAAGATTTGCGAACAGTTAATGGTCATTTATGTGCTTACGTATCGTGAAGCGTGTAAGCATTTGGGTTTACTGGAAAATGATGCATGTTGGGATTCATCACTTCAAGATGCATCGATCGTTTCATTTCACATCAAATACGTATGTTGTATGCCATAATAATATCAACATGTTTCTCATTGAATCCGATTGAATTGTGGAATAAATATCGAGATTTTATGACAGAAGACTTTTTGATTCGAATGCGCCATCACACAGGAAACTCTGATTTGATCATAACATTGGAAATGTATAATGAGGCATTAATAGCGATTGAAGATATGTGCCTTACGATCGCCAATAAAACATTGGGACAGTTAGGTATGATTTCACCCAATCGTCAAATGCATGATTTTTTCGATCGAGAATTGCGACGAGAACAACAGTATGATATCAATGAATTGCAAACATTTGTGAATTTAAATGTTCCCAAATTAAATGACCAACAAAAAAATGTGTACGATACCATCATGCAAGCAGTACAAAATGAAGCCGGTGGATTGTACTTTTTGGATGCGCCCGGTGGTACGAGTAAAACATTTGTAATATCACTCATTTTGGCATACATTCGAGTGCAAAGGAAAATTGCATTGGCACTTGCTTCGTCTGGAATAGCTGCTACTCTGTTGGATAGAGGACGAATAGCCCACTCTGCATTAAAATTACCATTAAATGTGCCGGTTTGTTTATATTCATTGATCGATTGGCTTGAAATGCATTTGCATTAATTGAGATATAATTATTTTTAATGTATTACAGGTGATTGAGAATCCCACGTGCAATATATCAAGAAATTCTGCGATGGCGAAAGTTTTGCAGCAAACAGCAATTATTTTATTGGATGAATGTACAATGACGCACAAAAAATCACTTGAAGCAATACACCGCACAATGCAAGATCTGCGTGGCAATCAAAACATTTTTGGTGGTGCATTGATATTATTTTCAGGTGATTTTAGGCAAACATTCCCCGTAATTCCACGCTCAACACCGGCAGATGAGATCTATGCGTGCCTAAAGTCTTCTTTCATGTGGAAATATGTGCGAAAATTAATGCTAAACATAAACATGCGTGTTCAGTTGCAAAATGATCAATCTGCAGATCGGTTTTCGAAGCAATTGTTGGAAATCGGAAATGGCAAAGTTCAAATCGATAACACAACCGGTTTAATTAGTTTGCCAAACAATTTTTGTACAATTCTCCAATCAAAAAAAGAATTGATTGAACGAGTGTTTCCAAATATTATTCAGAATCACAGGAATTACAATTGGTTGAGTGAACGCGCAATTCTGGCACCAAAAAATGTGCAAGTCAATGCTATCAATTATCTCATCCAAGAAAAATTGCCTGGTGCAGTAATATCATACAAATCTATTGATATCGCTATTGAACGAAGGTGATGCAATCAACTATCCAGTTGAATTTTTGAATTCGTTAGAACCACCCGGTATATCGCCGCATTTCTTGAATTTGAAGGTCGGCTCATCAATTATTTTACTTCGAAATTTGAATGCACCAAAACTGTGCAAACGGCACAAGATTAGCTGTAAAAAGATTGATGCCAAATTTAATCGAAGCCACACTATTGACTGGCAAAGCGAAGGGGGAATTTGTACTCATCCCACGTATTCCTCTGATACCAACAGACATGCCATTTGAATTCAAACGGTTGCAATTCCCCGTGCGCCTATCATTCGCTATGTCCATAAATAAAGCACAAGGACAAACGCTCCAAGTATGCGGTTTGGATTTGGAGGAACCGTGTTTTTCGCACGGGCAATTATACGTGGCCTCTTCAAGAGTTGGCACTCCAAATTGTTTATTTGTGTATGCCCCAAATGGACAAACAAAGAATATTGTTTACACAAATGTGTTGGATTAATAATAAAGAATTTAGAAAAAATAAATGATTTTTATTGCATTTTTGTGTTGGTGCTGCGAAGCGCACAGGAGTCGGCTATTAGTTATTATAAAACTAATTTTAACTGTACAACCTACGTGCTATTATTTTCGTTTGAAAATTTACGTCGTTTATAGTATTATATTTGTTTGTTGCTAGGGGATCGAAAAAAGAAAGAAGGTAAATAATAAACATCTGATTTAAGAATTGCATTTAGAGATTAACTGCACACGGGCGAATTCTATATATGGGCTACGAAGTGCACGGGTTCAACTAGTAATATATAAACTAAATCATCGATATGAATCAATTTTTAACTAAACGACCGATGAATAGTGATGATGAAAGTGTTATAGAAACTAAAGTTTGTAAGGTATCAGAAATGTCGTCAGATGTAAAAACCAGTCGAGAATGTTTGAACCAAAAAGTAAATAAAAAGGACCGTAAATACCAAGACAGTTACATCAAGTTTGGATTCACTTTCGATGTTGAAAAAGATGAGCCAAAATGTGTTATTTATTTAGAAAGATTAGCTTCAGAAAGTATGAAGCCATCAAAGCTAAAATGACATTTAGTAACTAAACATCCTTAATTCCAACATAAAGAGGAAGACTTTTTTAAAAGGTATGAAAATTCGATAAAAGTTCAAAAAAATACTATGCGTGATTTTACTTCAGTACCTATAAAAGCTCTAGCTGCGTCATTAGAGGCTTCATATTTAATTGCAAAAACCAAAAAACCACACTCTATTGGTGAATCACTCATTTTGCCAGCCGCTATAAAAATAGTATCAATTATGCATGATAAATCATATGTAAATGAATTAAAAATGATTCCCTTATCAAGAGATACTGTGTCACGTCGAATTGAAAATATGTCTGATAATATAAAATCACAACTCCTAAATAGATTTTACGAGGAAATTATTTTGCAATGCAATTAGATGAATCTACGGATATAACTAATCTTGCTCAACTTCTTGTATACTCGTATGTTAGATATATTTATAAAGATAAAATTGAAGAAGACTTTTTATTTTGTCAACCATTAGAAGGACGTACAACTGGAAATGATATTTTTGTTCTTATAAACAATTTATTAGAAATTAATGAAAATCCCTGGTCAATGTGTGTGTCAATATGCGCAGCTGCCCTTACTGGTTCAAAAAAAAGGTTTTAAAGCTAAAGTTCTAGAAGTGTCTTCAAATATAAAGTTTAACCATTTGTATAATTCATAGAGAAGCTTTAGCTTCCAAAAAACTTCAACCAGATGTTAACAAAGTACTCCTTAATGTTATAAGTGTAATAAATTTCTTAAAATCAAAGTCATTATATTCCAGACTTTTTACTATACTTTACAATGAAATAGGTTCTGACCATGAAAAATTGCTTCTTCATATTGAAGTAAGGTGGTTGTCTCGTGGTAAAATATTATCACGCCTTTTTGAACTCAGAGATGAAGCACGAATTTTTCTTCTGGAACGTAATAATACACTTTCAGAACATTTTATAGACGAGCAATGGCTTGCAATTCTAGGTTATCTTGCAGATATATTTGAAAAACTAAATTGTCTAAATTTAAGCTTACAATGGAAAAATACTAATATTTTATTTCTTTCTGATAAAATCAATGCTTTTAAAAAAAAAATACTTCTGTGGAAAAATTATATCGACGATGACAAATTTGAAATGTTTTCATGTTTATCAGAATTCCTCAGTGATAATGATGTGGATATTAATATGATAAAAGAAATTATAACTACTCATCTAATAAGTTTACAAACAAACTTTAATGCACGGTTTCAAAATTTCCCAGAAGAAAGTCTAGGTTGGATAAGAAATCCATTTCATTTTAATATCAATGAAATAAAATTAGGAAATTTAAAAATAAGCAAAGAACTTATTAACTTGTCATCAGATGAAAATCTACGTATCAGATTTCAAGAAAATGCTTGTGATACATTTTGGATTTCCATCAAATCTGAATTATTTATCATTATAATAATACATTTTTTAATTTTAGATTTTATAAAACTTTAAATTTGTATTTTTTTCATGTTTTTGATTAATTAAATTAAAGAAATATTAAAATTGCCTAAAATTAACGATTTAATGTATATGAATAAAACGTGTGTATACATTAAGACTATCGAGTAAATTTATATTATAAACTTACATAATGTTGGCAGGAAGGGGGGTCGTATTATCAAAATAAATCATTTTGGGGGGGTCGTGGATCAAAAAAGGTTGCGCACCACTGCATTAGATGATGATTATAATATAAAATATAAGGGCATTACACATTTACAAATTAGCGTGTAAGAAATATGTGTAATTAGGTTAAGCTAAATATATATAAGAGAGAAGACAAAAACCAATAAAGGAGTTCTTCTAGAGTAGTCGTGTGACTCGGCCACGATAGGAAGCTTGTTAACTTTTTCTTTAAGTGTTGCCTTAATTTTTATATGTGTTTTTTTTTTTTTGTGTCTATATGCACAAGTCAATCGGCGTATACGACAATGCATGTGTGTATAAATCATCCGAAAAAAAACTGAAACAAGATGCTAATATTTGTAATATGATGAATAAAAAATTTAAATGCATTAATATGCATTAATATATTTTTAAATGTATTGTTAACCATATTAATTCATGACTTATTAATGATTTTTTTTTTTTTGTAGAGACTTATATTTACTAAACAAATGTAGTATTGTTTCTACAACATTCTTAAATCTTAAACATTCAAATAACGAATACATGATTTTAAATACGTTATTTTTAAAAGTTGAATATTTAATACAAAAAAAAAAAAAAACATTACCTAATTTCATTTTTTGTTTTGTTTTCATAAATCGATATTTTTTTAGTTTTTTCATTGAATTGTTACGAAATGATATGATAATATATCGTGATAATGAATACTCATACTCTTTTTCAACGTTGAATCTAATCGTAATTTAATAAACGTTAATTCTAATCTCACTATACTCTTTTTTAATATTATTATGTACATATATTTAAATATATGTATGTATTATGTTTAACTGCTAAGCTACGATAATAACTTATTTTGAAAAGCTATTGAAAAAAAAATTTTAAACACAATTTTGTTATTTTTTTTTTTTTTTATATGAGAAAAACAATTTTAAATACTAGCTTACATCATGCACAAATAATTGTTGTTCAAAATATTTCGATTTTTTAAATTTATTATATTAAATTCGTTAACACTCTTGTTTTCTGCCTTCACTGGGTATTCATATATTACTTCTCTCATATTCATTAGCAGGGTTGGGATTTTATAGCACTTAAAATTGCTTAAATATGCGCTATAATATGACCTTAACTATCGCTAAATATGCGTTAAAAATACGCAATAAAAACAACAAAATATGAAAAAAAAAAGGAAATTTATTAATTAATCGCTTACAAATTTAAAATTATTATTAACTTAAGTTAATTATCGCTAAATATGCGCTAAAAATATGGAAACAACAAAATATGAAAAAAAAGGAAATTTATTAATTTATTAATAATCACTTACAAATTAGAAATTATTAGGTATACGTAGTTTAGTCACTCTGGTCAGAATCCTGAAGGGCTGTAAAAAAAATTTCCCAATAAATTATTTTCAAAAATTTTAAATAAAAAGTAAGCGATTTAAAATGTTCACCTTGAGTGTTACATTGAATTATTAAATGCTTGGCCAGATTATCGAATTTGAATTTACGGCGGTTGTCTGACAACTAAGTCTTGTACGACGAAAATGAACGTTGGACGTCCACTGATACAATTGGTGCGTATTTGAAATATACAATATCGCTAAATGTAAGTTCACCAAGTAATTCACCAATATTTGTATTTTCTTCACTATCCAATATATTTGAAATATATTTTAATTTAGACAAACCACTATTTTTTCTAAAACGTTTTTTAATTTGAGATATATAGGTTTACCATGTTCACCATTTAGTTTTTTCAGTGTTTCTTCGATATTTTCAATAATATTTAATGATGTGGCTAAGGACAGATTTTTTGCTTGCAATTTATCAATGGCTACAGATAAAATAGAAAAATTTGATTTAATGTATGCCAAGTTATTTTCAAGATTAGGTTTGTCTAAACATTTTTTTGCTTTTTGAATACTAATCGCATCTTCTTGGTCGAGTATTCCAATAATATGACGAACAGCTTGTATATTCTCACAATAATAGCTAGCTGCATTAATCCAGGTTCCCCAACGTGTAATAACTGGTTCTGGTGACAAGTTTACACCAGGAAGTTCATTTTTAAATAATTGTAACCGACTTGGAGCTTTTTTAAATACTTGATTAACACTTGCTATTAACTTATCCACTTTACTGAAATGAGATCTAACCTGTTCTGCTACTATGTGCAAACCATGGGCTGCACACGTCACGTGTAGCATTTTAGAATAGAAAACTTTGAGAGCCGTATCTGCCTTTACCATATATGGTGCGGCGTCTGATAAAAATAAAAGAACATGTTCATGTTGTACTCCGTTCGGCCACAATATACCCATTGACTTGTTGAATAGCTGGCTGATAGAAGAAAAATTTGTTTTTCCTAGTTCTTCAGCATGAAGTAAAAATACAACACCTTGACGATCGGCTTCAAGACTGCCGACAATCACATTTGCAATATACCGTCCTTCGACATCGGTTGTTTCATCGATGCTGACCCATATTCACTTAGAAGATAATTTGGACCGAATGTTTTCCATAGTCTCGTTATATATATCATCCACATATAACTTTGTTAACGTGGTTTGATCTGGAATCGGATTTTTCATGTACGTTTTAAGAAATTGTCGAAATATTGGATTAGATAATTTATTTAAAGGAATGTTTGCCGCTATAAATGCTT